CCAGCCTAAGACTTATTTTCCTAATGCTCCATAATAAAAATGGATTTGCTTTCACTGTTGGGTTTGGCATTTGCTTTAATTGCAAATAATAAAGGAATTCTAGTTATATATTGGAAGAACATTGGCAAAACTTCCAAATGCAAATTTCTAAAATCCCAGCAGATGTAGAAACAGATACCATAGAACCACTTTGTTATTTTTCTTCCTCTCAAGTAGGCCATGCAAATCTTTATAGTCTTATTTGTAGGGATTTAACTGTATAAAACAGTAAAGAGTCCCCATGATTTTAGCCTTCATCTTTTAAGATCAGCCCATATATGCTGTTTGAGCTTGCATCATCCAAAGAAGAAAATTTCAGACAAAAATCATGTGCTCAGTCATTTTTTTTGGTTACCATAGCGATAAGGATAAAGAATGGGATGGGGGGAAGAAAAGCTAAAAATACCTGAAAGCATACAGATAATTTTAGGAGTTTGACCTACTTGGTGCAATATAATAAAGAAGTTAATCAATCAAATTAGTTACTGAAGTGTTAAGTGAAATAGTGTACTTGATAAAAAAAGGCGTAAGTTTTGCAACCAAGAGCTATTATCAGCACTCAAAGAAGTCAGGATGAATGAACATAACCGTCAATCTCAAATGAATAAAATAATAATCTATTAAAATGAAATACATACCAGAGACAAGTAGAAAATATTAATTTAGCTCGTTTTTCTCATGAATTTTCTTTTCTGTTCTTTATTTTTGAATATTTCCATTTTAAATGAAAACTTCTTCATCAATCAAAATTTAAACTGGGTGGAAGAATATAATTAGACACAGATTTTAAATTATTTGAGTGATACCTTTCTATACAGTTTCTCTATTTGTGAATTATAATTCAATGTGTTTTAAGCTGTTTCCTTTGAAAATTGTACTTTTAATGAGAAATGTAATGGGCTCATCATTTACAAAATACTGACTGTATTACAAACTACCATATATGCTCATCTATAAGCCATGTTTTTCAGCATATTTATATGTAGTAAAATTAGGTGCCTTTGCTGATATTCGTGTTGGCTTATACTTGAGTATATATGGTATTTATGTAGAGTCTGTAAATGATGGATAAAAATAAGCAAATGTGGTGAAGAAAGCTGATGGTGCCCGGCTATCAAAAGATATAGCATCTGGGGTCTTAAAGGCTTGAAGGTAAACAAGCGGCCATCA